ATAAAAACGTGCATTACGTCTAAATTAACTCATAAAAATCAAATATAATTTCGTAAATTGCATAAACAATTATGAACAAAACAGCATCATGTATTTATGCATTGCTTAATCCAAAGAGCGAAGCGCCGATCACACAGATTGCATTTAAAAACTTATGAGACGCAGTGAAAAGGAATAAACCTCCACAAAGTCGTGACGTGTTTTCTAAAAGTTTAAACTGTTTTAACTTTGCATGGCTTTCTATACATCTCTTGTGTGAGAGACGCAAGTGCAGCAGTCATTTGTCCGTCTAAAAAATGTTGAACGATTCACGCTGAATGTGTGAATGGCTTGGTTTCGTTTTTTTAGATTTGAACCCATTCAAGATCTTCTCCGCATTGAGTTGCTATATTTCTCATATACATTCAAATGCAAATGTTTATTTTAAATTCGACTAATATTCATTCTTTATTCACAATCTCCTCATCACAGGCAGGCACAGCACTCAATTCAGCATGTGTTCATGTTTGTGTGTGCTGTCTGCGTCACTCATAGCACGTGCCTATATCATGCACTATATCGAAAAATTTTTATATAGTTATCAATGAAAGTGTACTGTCGATAAATATCGATACCGTTTTATCGCCCAGGCCTAATCCCAAGTACCAGATTTCTGTCTAATGTACTAACCTCTATGCCACCAATCAACCATATTGCCCTCTATTTTTCTGCTAAACAGTAAAATATGATCCATGCCCAAACCCTGGCGTGCCTGACAATGGCTACCAGACTCTGTACAAGCACAGTTACCAGGCAGGTGAGACACTGCGCTTCTTCTGCTATGAGGGCTATGAGCTCATTGGGGATGTCATCATCAACTGTGTCCCAGGACACCCCTCTCAGTGGAACAGCCCACCACCCTTCTGTAAAGGTATGTGAATGTGAACTAGTCTAATACACAGAGTTGGCATTTCTATCTGAAGAGTTTGAAAACGTCATGTTTTATTTATTTGCAGTGGCCTATGAAGGGCTACTGGACGATCATAAACTGGAGGGTAACGTTGGTTGTCATTGTTAAGTACTATTCATATTGGTTTGATAATTTGGCCCACTATGTCACATAATGATGTTATTAATCTCCACTCTTTGCAGTTTCTCAGTCATTAGAGGCCTCTCATCAAATGCTGAGCGAGAACATTGCATTGGCTATTATCCTGCCAATCATTCTGGTCATCCTTCTGATTGGTGGAATCTACATGTACTATACCAAGTAAGTTTGGCATGCTTGTGTTTCTGAATGCTTTTATCTTGTGTTAAAGTTAACATGAAATCAAAATTGACCCTATTATTATAAAATATGTACTTTACAATGCGAATGTTCCTGGTCTTATTTTGTATAATTTACTATTGCACATTATTTCAGAGAAAAGGTCGTTGTTGGTGGCTCTTGGGCTGGAAATTTGAAGTGAAATGAAATAAATAAATAAACAACATTCTACCATTTCCTAACCCATTTCCCTATGGATAAAATCAAACCTTCCTTGCATTCCTTGCATCAAAACCTTCTTCACAGCTGTTCCTTATTTAGCTCTTCTGCACTAACACCTCGTCTATCGTCTCTTCCTGTCTCTCTCAGTGTGTGTAGGTGGCAGTGGAAACCGTTGTTCTGGAAGTCTCTCTCTCACACCCACTCCTACAGTCCCATAACAGTGGAGTCTGACTTTAACAACCCTCTCTATGAGGCAGGGGTAAGATGCTCACAACCTAGTGGAATTTGTACTTATAAACTGTTAGGATGTGTAACTGAACACCAAGAAATCCAAGGCATTGATTTTCTCTTTAGGGAATCATAGTCTGTTTGCTGTCTTTGATCTTGCAGATCTTCCAGCACAGCATTCCCTCTTATTTTATGTATAGAAATATATAGATGCACTACCATTCAAAAGTTTGGGTTTAATGTTTTTGAAAGAAGTCTCTTAGGCCGCGGTCACACCAGACTTTTCGTTACATTGACTTCCATTCATACGCATGCGAATGCGTCAGACCGGAAACGCAAGCCCGTGCGAAGATATTTCGCATTTCGCTGCGTAGCAAAGTTCAAGCTTGGTGACCTCTGGCCTGCGAATTCGCATCACGTGACACCGTGTGACCAACGGCAGATCGATACGTCACAGCATCACCTCCTTTCCTGCAGGAAAGTGGAGTAGATTGTATGTTTTTACATTTTAGATTTTATAATTTATGTGTTGAATTTAAGTTCATAAAAAGACGCTGCACAGCGTGACGTCACATAACGACCGTTGGAGAAATTGTTTCGCATGCTCAAAGTCTAGTGTGACTGTCTGTGTGCTTTTTGCTCACCAAGGCTGCAGTTATTTGATCAAAAATACAGTAAAACCAGAAATATTGCAAAAGTATTATTACAATTTTAAATAATTATTTTTCATTGTAATATATTTTCCAAAGCATCATTACTTCAGTCTTCAGTGTCACATGAACCTTCAGAAATCATTCTAATATACTGATGTGTGGCTCAAGAAACATTTATTATTATTATCAGTGTTGAAAACAGTGCAGCTTAATTTTTTTTGTCAAAATCCTGCTTTTTTCAGGATTATTTTATGAATAGAAAGCTCAGTCATAAATGTCTTTACTGTCACTTTTAATCAATTTAATGCATCTTTGCTAAAAGTATTAATTTCTGTTTTCTTTTTTAAAGCAATGAAATCATATACTGACCCCAGACTTTTAAACAGTAGTGCAGATGCTGCTGTATCATCATATAAATTTGATAAAAAATTGTGTTTTCTATCTTTTTGTTGTATGTAATGTCAATTTATCTGTATTATATTAATTATAATTTTACAAAAAATAAACAATGCTGCTTGGCTTTAGATGACGATTTTCTGTCATATTTGCTAGTGAAGTTTGTTTCCCTCTCTGATTGTAGGACACACGAGAGTATGAGGTGTCCATCTGAGACAGAAGTCTTCAAATGAATCCAAATTTTGGGTGACTGAAAAGGAGAAGAAAAGAAAGGATACTGTTATTTTTCTCTCTCTCTCTGCAAGACACAATTAATGACAACACATGAATCCCACTCTGCACAGTCTCTCTCTCCTCCCTCTCGGTCGATTCACTGATGTATGTACGTACCAAGTGCGTTTGCTTGTGAGTTGATGCAGGTGCCTGTGTAGTATGTTAGCGCATGTTTACATGTGTGTATGTTATTGGCTGTATATGTACATCAGAGTAATGAAATACTGAAAGTAACAAAAAAAATAGTTGTATGTACATACGGTGAGTATGATTTCTACAGTCAGGCATGTTTTATAACAGAAGGTCTGGTGCCTTAAGGACTGTAAAGTGATGGAGTGAAAGAAAGAACGAGAAATTGAATGGGGAGAGAGAGAGAGAGAGAGAGAGAGAGAGAGAGAGAAAGAGAGAGACTTTGACAAAGATAAGTACACATACGTATATAATCTGAAAAATGAAAACTATACTCTCATGATCCCATGTTTGTATACAGACACATGGCCACACATTCACACGTACATATACATGATGACAAGAACATATTGAATGTAAATATTTTGATTGAATATTGAGTATACAAGCGGATTCAGTGCCAAAATACATCCCATAATGTGACGTCACTTCACGTTTCACTGGTTGCCATAGTATTTCTCACATTATTATGTAAAATGAGGACAATGCCAGCATTTCATATTGTTCTTTGCTGTTTCTTAAGAATCTATTTCTGCTTGATGTTGAATGACCATGTTTCAGAGGAGCGGAATGTCCTCTCGCTTACGGCACGCAACGATTGTATATTTTACCGCTTCAGCTTAGGATTCATGATCAATTATACTTAAAGTCATTGTTATCAGAGTTGATGTTGTTGCATATGCACTATGTTGAGGAAAATATATATAGAAAAAAACTGCCTGCTGTGATGCAGTAATCGAACTGAAATGCTTTTTTATAAATTGCATTTTTTAATTCATTTATTTATTTATCTCATGGTTTCTTGTTAATATGCAGTGAGTTTAGTCTTTTCCACTGTGCCATAACCAGAGCCCATGTTGTGGAGGGCTTTATTGCATTGTAGTATTACTTGATTGTTATTTATTTATCAACATAATATACTTGTCATGAAGACATTTATTTGCTGAGATTTAAGATTAAATAAAAGTCTCTGTTGGATGGTGAATGTGTCTTTCATAAATGACATCTTTATGGATAATACATACTGGTATTTGTTTTGCTATTAGCAAAATAGCATATAGATAGATAAGATAGATAGATAGATATACACAAGCTATAAACATACACACATTTACGTACTTGTGTGTGTATACACAATCACACGGTACATTAATTTAAGTTTTTCACGTTCCCAAGACAGAAAAAAAAAATGTTTTAAAATTTAAACTAAATTTTGTGTCAGAAGAAAACATTGACCTTATAAAACTGGCCTTTACGATTGGCTGGATTCAGACTGGGGGCGGGACTAACTCGCTTGACTGACGTTGAGGTGGGCCAATCAGTCAACGAAAGACTCCTCGCGAGGGGAAGCAGCCATTGTCAACCCACAACAAGCAATAAAGAGGAACGAGACAGTCGTGCGGCAAGACAACAGAGGAAATTATGATTTGGTGAAAAATCATGGCAGGCTTAGTGTTATAGATATAACTGTCCGTCGCGAATACTTTATATTTTGTGCACCTTATCGCGGGGACCCAGCTCGGTGAGTGTTTGCTCGTTGACAGCCATACTAATGTTATCAAGAGCTAGCTCAGGGGCTAATAAGCTTATCAGTATAAGACACGTTATGTGGATGTGTTTCCCTTTAATCGTCAGTTGTCAAGTTATTAAATGGCCAGTGAACGGTGGGAAATATATTTGGTGTGGTCTAGACGAGGATTAGCGAGATCTCTCAGCTGGAGTTAGGATTTTACTGAATGTGTTGACCTAATTCTGTCCATTTCCTCTGATATCAGTACAGAAACACATCTGTGGCCTCCCCAGTGGAGTGGGCAGATATTCACAAGCCTCTGAGCACTACTAAGGGGGTGTTATATTTTATATGTGTTAGTTTTTAGGGATGCCCCAGTGGGATCTTTGGATTCTCTAGTATGACGGATGATAAAAGCATTGCTTTGTATTTCATGTATTATGTTTCTGACTTTCTGGATGTTGTCTTTGTGTTTTCGGATATCGTTACAGTGGTTGTCACAGTTTGGTGGTTGGTGTGCACAGTTTATGACCGTAAATAATGGTGTACTGTCACCTTGTTCGCGCATATCTCTGAAGATGTTACAGCATTTATTAGTTTATTTTGCTCTCATCAAATTTTATGTATTCTGAACATATGTGAAATCCTGTGAGTAATCACTGGAGATCGCTTTGATGTCCTGCTGGCTACATTTTCTTTTAAAGGAATAGTTCAGAGTCAGACAGAAAAGAATGTTTTGATATTATTTACATAAGTTACTATTTTTCAAACATGTAAGTAAGTAGAACACAAAAGATGAGTTTTTGCAGATATTTCGGGACAGTCTTTTTCATATGAGGACTGGGGCTGTCAGGCATCCGAAATGATAAAAAGCATAGTTAAAAATATCATAAAAGTATCCATGTGACTTGTGTGCTGTTTTTCCAAGTCTTTTGAAACCATTTGATCATTTTAAAATCATATAAACAGATGCTCGTCACTGGAAATGTTGCCCTTCAGTGGGAAACCGTTTTAGTTGAACTTAACAACTGGATTAGTTCAATTCAGTTAATATATGAAGCATTCAGACCAGTTTTATTAACTGGATCAACTGATTTACTCAAAAGATCTGACTCGAGGCTTGAAGGAACAATTTTGTTCACAAATTGGACATGGCTGCTACTTTCATGAACACACAAAAGAGAGCTAGGACTGATTTTTTTGCTGTTTTTTGTGCTTGACAGCTCCAGTCCAGTTAAATTACATGAATGAAAACAAGTATATTCTTTAGAAAGTCTCCTTTTGTGTTCCATGGAAGAAAGAAAATGATACAGGTTTGGAACGACATGAGAGTGAGGAAGCATGGATGAACTATTCCTCAACCACTGCATTTCAGAATGACTCAGTACTGCTTAAAACATCTCATAACAATCAGACCGTAATTCTGTCTGCTCTGTATTTGTGGGCTTTATATATTTAGGCAGTGAATAAGCAGTATTTGATTTCTACTCCCCTGATGTCTGCCGAGGCATCTGGTTCATCTGGCGGGAATGTGGTGACTGTGTCTGGTTCTGCTGCATCATCCTCCAGCCATGTTCGGGAAGAAAAGGCCGGCAGGAGCCTGGCGGGGAGTAAGTATGTGAAGCTCAACGTGGGGGGAACTCTCCACTACACCACGGTCCAGACGCTCAGCAAGGAGGACAGTCTGCTAAGGAGTATTTGTGACGGAAACACAGAGGTCACCATAGACTCAGAGGGTAAGAAAAAGCATGAGAATGTGTTGTTATACAATACTTTTCAAAAGTTTGGTGTTGGTAAGATCTGATCTCATCATTATCGAGTCATTACATGAAAAAACTGAGACAGACTAAATCCAGAAGAACTGTGACAACGTCTCCAGGACACTTGAAGAAATCTTCCTACAAAGTTACCTGAAAAACAATGTGCAAGTGTACCTAGGACAAAAGCTGTTTGTTGCCCCTGTTCCCAAGCGTTATTCTACAATAACAGATGCAGAAACTAGATCAGAGATGTGTATTTAAAGGGATAGTTCACCCAAAAATGAAAATTGGATGTTTATCTGCTTACCCCCAGGGCATCCAAGATGTAGGTGACTTTGTTTCTTCAGTAGAACACAAACGAAGATTTTTAACTCAAACAGTTGCAGTCTGTCAGTCATATAATGGAAGTGAATAGGAATCACGGCTTTAAGAGTAAAAAAAACATACTACTGCAACGGTTTGAGTTAAACATTTTTGTTTGTGTTCTACTGAAGAAACAAAGTCACCTACATCTTGGATGCCCTGGGGGTAAGCAGATAAACATCTAATTTAAATTTTTGGGTGAACTATCCTTTTAAATATTTCTTCACTTCTTTTAAGGCTGGGTGGTACTGGACAGATGTGGGAGACACTTTTCCCTGGTGCTGAACTTCCTGCGGGACGGGACAGTTCCTTTGCCGGAGAGCACACGGGAGCTAGAGGAGGTGTTGAAGGAGGCGCAGTACTACAGGCTGCAGGGTCTTGTGCAGCACTGCCTCACCACATTACAGGTTAGAGGATCCACTGGAGCGTGCTTCTGTACCATCAGTGTTGGTCCAAAGTAGCACGTGTCTATAGAGAAGTTGAATGCTTCTTTGAGCCAAGGAAGGTGTTTGACTGTTGGTCTGTCACTTACTAATGGCTTGCTTGATGTTGATGCAGAAACGCAGGGATATCTGCAGGGGATGTCACATTCCTATGATCACTTCAGCCAAAGAGGAACAGAGGATGATAGCCACCTGTAGGAAGGTGAGATAACACAGCAGAATATTTACTTCCCCCTTAGACCAAAACAACACAAGAAAAATGATCTCTCTTTAGACTGCACTACACGAATTTTGCCTAGTTTTTTGCCCAGATTCAAAGTCTGGAGGAGTTAGCACTTGTTGCCAGAAGCTAGAGCCAGTCGGCAGATATTGGTCAGTTGTGAAAGTTGTGTAGTGTACAGACGTGATTCAAACTATGATTCCATCCAGTCAAGAGATATCAAACACGTTTGATATTTTGAGCTGATTTTAGAATGCATGTTACCATTTTTTTCATTCATCTCCTAGCAATGTGGCACACTTTGTCTTTATGTCAGAACAACATGAAAGTGTAGTAGTGTGTAATTCAGTAGTCATAGTAGACATTTAGTATATAATGTCCAGTTTTGCTCTGTAAACATTTACAGAGTTGCCAAGTGTATGATCCCTGGTGTTTTAAATCTTTGTATAGATTTTAAAGTAAAACGCTACAGGCAAAACAATAGTTTTTTTTTTTTCGTGCACTACTTTTTTTTAATTTTGTGATTTTGGGCTATTTTGCTACATGTTCTCTTTCAGGTTTCACATTTAAGTGTTTATTTTATTTTGTTAGACTTTATTTGCGTCTATAGATTAGCACATTTAATTGAATAATGCACCATTTGCATATTTAAACAACATTTCAGAAAATATTTAATACAAAATAATAAAAATAAAATAAAATACAAATAAATTTAATACAATTAAAAAGTATTAATGTCCTATGATTAATTAGCTGGGGAAGTATGGTGATATCTTTTAGTTTATTTTTTCTGTGATGTCTTGCCTTAAAAGTCATGTAATGTAGTCCAGCCTTTAAGGACTGCTTTATATGGGCATGTAGTATGGAGCTCTGAGGAAAATTACATTGATATTAATAATGGTAATGAGATTTTTGTGGTCTTTGTTTCATAAGTAATCTTTTCCTCATTACAGCCAGTGGTGAAACTGCAGAATAACAGAGGGAACAATAAATACTCCTATACCAGGTACATTCAGCCTCACTTCTTCAGCCTTTTTTTTTTTTTTTTATTTTTTTTTTTTTTTTTTTTACGTTTACTTTTCTGAGTTTACCACCACCTCATTTCAGAAAGCATATGAATCATAATGTGACTTATTCAAATACTATTCTGAATATAAATGAATAATTGTAGTCATACACACACAAGACATGTGGCTCAATGACCCCTTGTAATTATGCCTGGTTACTATAGGAAGCAGTAAGAAAATGATATTGAGACATTTAAATGTTCCTGTCTGTCAAACAGTAGAGCATAGCACTAGCAACGCCAAGGTCATGGGTTAGATTTTCAGGGAATGCATGAATTTAAAAAAAATGTATGCCAAATATGTAAATGTCAACGAGTGGTGCTGTTTTTCAATCAATTTTACCCTGTTTCCTCAGCAACTCTGATGATAACCTTCTGAAGAACATTGAGCTGTTCGATAAGCTGGGGCTGCGCTTTAATGGCAGAGTGCTGTTCATTAAAGACGTGTTGGGAGATGAGATATGCTGCTGGTCTTTTTACGGCGAGGGACGCAAGATTGCCGAAGTCTGCTGCACCTCTATTGTTTATGCCACTGAGAAGAAACAGACCAAAGTGAGCAAAAGGGACTTGAACTGTCTTGTCTATGTGTATAAATGTGTTTTCTAACTTCTTTTTTTCATCTGTTCACATAGGTTGAGTTCCCAGAAGCTCGAATCTTTGAGGAGACACTCAACATTTTGATCTATGAAAATGGGCGAGGCTCGGGTTTGGGAGGCATGGCCCTGCTGGAGTCAGTGGGCGTCTCGTCGCCAGGTGTGGGCCAGTCAGAGGAGGAAGGGGCAGGTGTGGGAGGCGGGGATAGGCGGGTGAGGCGTATCCATGTGCGGAGGCATATTATGCATGATGAGAGGGGTCACGGACAGCAGACTGTCTACAAAGACTGAATCAGAACGATACAATGCATTGTACTACCAATATGCATGTGAACAATGGAAAAGTTGGTTGAGGAAAGAAAGACAACTTTGGTATGTTTAATACTGCACTGAAATGGGAGGGGTGGGGGGTAATTATGGGCTAGTTTAGAAATAATACTGAAGTTGCCACAGTGGTACAGTTTTATTTTCTTCTGTGAGATACATTTACATGACCTTTTTTCATTTTTGTTAAATTTAATTTATTATTCAGTTAATTTATTGTCCAGAATTTTCACTTTTTCAAGATTCAATGTGAAATAAGTTGTGTTTTGTTTGTTTGTATGGGCCGTGTGAAAGTTAATCTTTTGGTGATCAATGGTAAACTGTGATGTATGCTGACTTGAGGGGTACATGGTGGAGGTGTCATGTTGTCTAGGACTGTCAGATCTTCTGGGAAACTGACCAAATGTGCAAAGCTTGTTGTTGCAGCCATAGATAGCAGGGAGTCCAGTTTTAAACATCCTTTTTGTAACATAAAAGGAAAACATAACAAGTAAATCATTTTACACAACTGTGCCTCACGATTAGTGTTTAACATTTTCAATGGGCATGCTAATATTTATAAAACTAATATTGTTTTGGTTTAAAAAGAAAAAGATTGCAATAGTTTCTAGCATTATGTAACAATACATTCTAAAACAGAAGTTAAGACGTGTTAGACTTGTTGCCACACCTGCAGTAAAAAAAAAAGAAAAAGTAATTTTATTTCAGGGTCATTTCTAGACAAAGATTGCTCCTTTGAATCACAATAGTAGTTACCACTACGGTACAAACCCCTTCACAAAATGATTTATGTTTTATTGACAAATGTAAGCCATAAATGTATGCACTCACTGTCCTAGACCAAAAAACACCCCTTAATTCTGCCAATTAAACTAGTATATGTGGAATGCCGTCCGGATATTGTTTTGGAATTTTATTAATCAACTGGAATTAATATTCCTTTAACATTTTCAATAAAAATGCTTTTTGGTAAAACCCTTGTTAAGTTATTTTATTTTGTCTTCAAAAATAGCAAAGGAAACTTATTCCAAAGCACGAGAATCAATCATAAAAAGTAGACAGTAGGTTATAACAGAGTGTCGAAATGACATTCATACCAGATGAAGGATGAAAATGGTGAATATGAGAAGAGTAAATATCTTTTTAAAAATGGAGCATATAAAGTAGCTGTTTAAGACTTGTCCAACAACTCCATATGAACATATTTGTGACCAGGGACCACAAAACATATACGGGTCAATTTTTTGAAATGCAGAATTATACATCATCTGAAAGCTGAATAAATAAGCTTTCAATTGACGTATGGTGGTTTGTTAGGATAGAATAATATTTGGCCGAGATACAACTATTTGGAAATCTGGAATCTGAGGGTGCAGAAAAATCTAAATATTGAGAAAAGCGCCTGTAATATCCTAATGATTTTTGGCATAAAAGAAAAATCGATCATTTTGAGCCATACAATGTATTGTTGGCTATTTCATTTGCTACAAATATACCTGTGCTACTTATGACTGGTTTGGTGCTCCAGGGTCACACTTATAAGTGAATTAATGAAAGAAAAGGTTTTAATAATTGGACATGAAGCAGACCAACGTTACAATGTTATGTCTATTACGTGATCACGTCTAGCGGAAATTGTGCGCGATGACGTAAAGTAACGTAGCCATGCACAGCAAAGCGCGCCAAGGTAGGGCCGCGCACTTAGTACGCACACGCACACACGCACACACACACACACAGACAGTACGCAGTGGAGTAAAAAGTGGCGCAAGTGTGTAAAAAAAAAAACATGGCCAAAGAAGAGGATGTGATCCGAAAGTTCGTTGTGAGAGAACTGCACAAGTGTTCGGACCTCAGGTAAAGTGCTCTCAAAACGGATGTTATCATCATTAAGTTACACATCAAAGAACGCTATGTTAGTAAGTCAGGGCTGAATCAAACTCGTTGCTTGAGAAATTCGGTAACGCATGTCAGGTCTCACATAATAGCTAGTGTGTGACATGAAGGAAAAAGAAACAGATATAAAGGGGTGGTTAGTGTAAGCTGTTTGCATGAATACGGTCACATCGCATAAGAAGCGCTTTAATTAGCAGGTATCGTAAATAAATATGATCAAGGGATACTACAATCATGTGTGACGCAGCTTACGTAAAAGAGCTTGAAGGAAATACTGTAGTACAGTAGCATGCTTGAGCGGTTTTACAGAACATGTGTCTGTGCATCACATCACTCGTGTTAATGCGCAAGGCACTAAAGTGAAAGTGTACTTGTGTTTTGTAACGGTTTGCTGTGTCCAAATGATGTGAAGTGTTAAAGTCATGTGACATTTTTCATTGATTTATATTGGTCAATCAGAATGATATCGGCTATTGTGCAGTTATTTACATGTTTAATTTGCTGTTACTCTGCCATCTTTCAGTACACTGACTTTAGGCATTCTGCGGAGGAGATACCTGGAAAAGGTGGGGAGAGAGTCGCTCAGCATCAAGGACAGACAGCTGATGAAGAAAATTGTGGAGGAGGAACTTTTGAAGATGCAGGTGAAGAAGAGATGTTGAAGTCATGTGATCTTAACATCATGCATCTGTCAAAAAACGATATTTTGCTAAGATTCGCCCTTTGGTTACTGGTGCAATAATCTCTTTGAAATAAATCTCTTTAGAATAAATTGATAAACAATTAGTCTGATGTATTCACAGGGTGAGGTTTCACTCTGTACATTCCTAAGTTAAAATTCTTTTTTGCATGTTTGCGGTGTCCGTGTCACTGATTGGATGAACGCAGCTCTAGCATTGTGCATCCTTAGTAGACTTTGTCAACTGTACTATCAAGTTTGTCCTGAATTAACGTTTTTGGTTTATAGAGGTAAGAATAAAACAAGCTCTTCTTCAGAATCAGAATCACGTTTAATATCAAGTACTGTATGTATACATGTACGAGGAATTTGTCTTGGTAAATTGGTGCTTGACAAAGACAACAGAAAAACAAGAATAAATAATAGAACAATGAGGTAAACCGTTTTAAATTAAGACAAGTAAAAGCTATACGGTAAGAGCAAGAAAGAATTTAGGAAGATAAAAATATAAATTACAAAATAAACATTATAAACATTAACTCTACATTTGTGCAGAATATGTAAAATGGGGCAGTGCAAATGTTTACAGTTGAAACTTAAATGGTACATTTCTGAACATTGTGCAAGATGTGCAGCGAGGAGCCAGTGCAAATGCTTACAGTCTGGGATGTGAGAATATAGCAGCCTGAGTTGTGTGTGTTAATGTAACACATGTGAAACAACATGTGTGTGTGTGTGTGTGTGTGTGTGTGTGTGTGTGTGTGTGTGTTTTTTAATGTGAAGTGTAATGTCCATGGGCGTGACTCGTGAGTAAGAAGCCCTGATGGGTCGTGGGTATTGTTGATAATAGCAGTTGCAGATGGAAAGAAACTGTTTTTGTGGCGTTTTTCAAAAAGTTTGTGTCCAGGGTGAGATGTGTCAACAGGTCCTGAAGAGATGGGAGGTTGCATCCGATTACCTTCTCAGCAGAGCAGATGACACATTGCAGTCGGCCTTTGTCCTTGGCAGTGGCAGCAGCATAGGCTACCAGATGGTGATGGAGGTGGTGAGAATGGACTCAATGATGGAAGTGTAGAAGTGAACCATCATTGTCTTTGGCAGGTTAAAATTCTTCAGCTGCCTCAGGAAGTACATCCTCTGCTGTGCTTTTTTAATTAGAGCGCTGATGTTGAACTCCTACTTGAGGTCCTGGGTGATGATGGTGCCCAGGAAGCTGACAGAGTCCACAGGATAATGAGGGCAGGTGGGGCTGGGTTCTTCCTGAAGTCAATCACCATCTCCACTGTTTTTACAGCGTTGAGCTCCAGGTTGTGCTGATTGCACCCAGACGGTCAATCTCCCACCTATAGGCAGACTCAGCCCCGTCAGAGATGAGCCCAATAAAGGTGGTGTCATCCGCAAACTTAAGAAATTTGACAGACTCGTGACTGGAGGTGCAGCTGTTGGTGTATAGAGAGAAGAGGAGAGGAGAAAGAGCACAGCCTTGAGGGTAGCCAGTACTGATGGTTCGGGGGTCAGAAACATGTTTTTCCATTCTCACATGCTGCTTCCTGTCAGACAGGAAGTCTATGATCCACCTACAGGTGGAATGGGCACATTCAGCTGGCAGAGCTTGTCCTGTAGCAGAGCCGGTATGATTGTATTGAACGCAGAGCTGAAGTCCACAAACAGGATCCTGGCGTAGGTTCCTGAGGAGTCCAGGTGCTGGAGGATAAAGTGGAGGGCCATGTTAACTGTGCTAAATTGGTGCTTGACAAAGACAACAGAAAAACAAGAATAAATAATAGAACAATGAGGTAAACCGTTTTAAATTAAGACAAGTAAAAGCTATACGGTAAGAGCAAGAAAGAATTTAGGAAGATAAAAATATAAATTACAAAATAAACATTATAAACATTAACTCTACATTTGTGCAGAATATGTAAAATGGGGCAGTGCAAATGTTTACAGTTGAAACTTAAATGGTACATTTCTGAACATTGTGCAAGATGTGCAGCGAGGAGCCAGTGCAAATGCTTACAGTCTGGGATGTGAGAATATAGCAGCCTGAGTTGTGTGTGTTAATGTAACACATGTGAAACAACACGTGTGTGTGTGTGTGTGTGTGTGTGTGTGTGTGCCATGTTAACTGTGCCATCTACAGACCTGTTGGCTCTGTAGGCAAACTGCAGGGGGTCCAGGAGAGGGTCTGTGATGGATTTGAGGTGGGACAATACAAGGCGCTCGAAGGACTTCATTACTACAGATGTCAGGGCGACAGGTCTGTAGTCATTTAGACCTGTGATCCTGGGTTTTTTGGGGACGGGGATGATGGTGGAGGTCTTGAAGCAGGCTGGCACATGGCATATCTCCAAAGAGGTCTTAAAGATATCTGTAAACACTGGAGACAGCTGGTCAGCACAGTACTTCAGAGTGGATGGAGAAACAGAGTCTGGTCCGGCTGATTTCTGAGGGTTCTGTCTCTTGAAGACTCTGTTAGCATCTCTCTCCTGGATGGAGAGAGACGTTCCTGTGATGGGGCTGAGGGGGAGGGAGCCGTTGAGGTGTGGAGCTGTGAAGAGGCCTCAGCTTCTGCTGTGGTGAAGCTGATGTTCAAGCTCAAGCTGAAGGCTGGTGTCATGGGGGATGATATCAGGACTATCCCATTGTCTTTCAAAGCAACAGTAAAACTCATTCAGGTTGTTGGAGAGTCGTTGGTCGTTAACAGAGTGGGGGGCTTTGTTTCCAGTTTGTGTCCTTTCCAGACAGAAGTGGTGTCTTTAGCTGAGAATTGCTGTTGTAGTTTCTTCACACCAATTTGGAGTTTTCTGTCGCCATTTGACATTTTCCTCTTATGAATTATGAGGCACATGACTGGGTGTCTGTTGTTAAGTATCCAGTCATAACATTCTAACACTGCATTGTTTCACACTGGGCAAGTTTGGCACAGCAATGTGGGGGTTAACACTGCAAAAGTAGTTCACTAAAGATGTGTGGGAGATGAGCAGGATTTCTTAACCTGGGCTAAAAAGCAGTGCTATCCCTGATTATAAATTCTAAAAAGTATGAAAAGATTCTACAAGTGTGAAATGTTCCTTTACCTGGGGTTAAAAGTGGGGTTTAGAATGACAGTAACACTCCGGGTTAAGTGCAGTGTCAAAATTAAAGAAAGGTTTTTGAATAGTGCAGTTTTTGGTGAAAATGTACTCATAAAGTGGTTAGAATGGAAGTTGTTAAAAATATTACTAAATAGACTGGGATGAATTGTAACCTTGCAAAGCATTTTATCAGCAGTTTTTCTTTAAAATATTATGTTATACATAACATGGTTATAATCTGTTATGCAAACTTATTTTGGTACCGTGAACATCTCTACTATAATTTAAATGAATTAATCTAAATTACCTTTCTTGAGGCAATGAAATGATGCTTTTGCATTTATTTGGGAATGAGTTCGGAAACGGTTTAATGATTTCTGTTTGAAAGGTTCCAAATATAAAAAAGGAAAGAGCAAAGTCTTGTCTGATAATATGGTGAAGAATAATGTGATATGTCAGTAACATTTTAAAGGGGTCATCGGATGCTCATTTTGCTTGATATGATTCTTTAGGGTCTTAATTAAAAGTCTATAACATACTTTGGTTAAAATTTCTCAATGTTAGTATAAAAAACACCTTTTTAAATCTGTCAAAATCAGCTCTGTTTGTATCGAGCCATTATAGTCCATGTTGCTTTAAATGTTAATGAGCTCTGCTGGCCCCACCTCTCTCTTCCGAGCTGCTCTCAGAGAGACTGTTTACTGTAGTCGCATTCATCGTGAAACTTGCTAATTAGCGCATTATTAGGAAAGGTGATTTGCAAAGATTCATAAAAAACCCTTATACTCACTTCTTCTGTAGATGAGGCTGGATCACGAATGATTCGAGCGAACATAGATGCATTTAGGCTGATCGGGAGTGGTGCATTCACTTAAAAGCGAAAGTAACGTTAATCCTCTGCGTCTTCAGCAGCTCAGATGTCGGGAGTAAATGACGAATGCTATATTCATTATTACATCCAACAATAAAGCACCTCAATTACTTAATCGGAGACATCTTGTCTTCCCCTGCACCAGAGTCAACACAACGGCGGACTGATGACAGCTCACTCAGGGCTGGTCTAAGGTAAGTCACCAGGTCCAGTCTGTGCTGAAACACTACTGTCAATCAACTATCGTGGGAGTGGCCTGTACAGAACTACGTCATTTTGACAGGAATCTCAGAACAGCCTGGTTTGAGAAAGGGGATTTAAATAGGGATTTAAAAAAAAACACTGGATGGATTTTTATAATTATAGGATGGATGTGTACACACACTTCCAACATACATTTATGTTCAAACAACTTGAAAAGTGAATTTTGCATCCGATGACCCCTTTAAAGTCAAGGCTTTGCTTTGACAACTGACAACCTTCTTCAATTTCCAGGACAGCAGTGATGATGAGCCTCTTATTAAGAGTGTGAATCCTTCAAAGAGCCAGAGCAAAAGGAAAAGGGTGGATGAAGATGATGGGGATGAAGAGAATAAAATGGTGGGAAAGACAAAAAGATCACGGCTGGAGGAGTTTTCTCCAGGTAACCGTGTAGTATTTGTTGAGTTTGTTCTTGTTTTTTCTTATTGGATGTTGCGTGAGTAACGTTACGTTCTCTCTTGTCCAGATTCCCCTGACTCTGGAATAGAGAAAGCTATTAACGAGGGAGAACAAAAAGAGGATGAAGCTGAAAGTGATAAAGACGCGGGTGAAGACAGTGAGGAGGAGCAAGAGGAAAAGAACATTAAGAAAAAAACACAGAATAAGAGACAGAGCAAACTGAAAGGGGACAGTGAGAAGAAAAAGAAACCGAAGAAGAAAGGGAAGGTGAAAGAAAGTGACGAAGATGAGGAGTTCAAGGATTCTGATGAGGAGGAGGCAAGGCAAAAACAACCATCGAAAGAAAAGAAAAAGGATTCAGACAGTGTGAAGGAAATCACTGATACACCGGCTTCGAGTGATTCAGAGGATGAAAAAGTGAAAAGCAAAGTGAAGACGCAGAGTAAAAGAAAAGATATCAGAAAAAAGAAGCCAGTCGAGAGGGATATTGTGAAAGAAGTGGAGAGAGAGGTTTTTGGGAGCAGCTCTGAGAGTGAAGAGGAGAATAACAAGAGCGCTAAAAGAAAAAACAGGAGCAACTCTGAAAATGACAGCAGCGGAGACAGTGAAGAGGAAAAAGATCAAAAAGAGGATGCTGCTAATTTGTCCTCCAAAGAGATGGAGAAAAATGGTAAGAATCCCTCAGAGGTCAAAGCGGTGTATGCTTAAACCTTTCTCCTTACATTGTTCATCTCTCTTTTTCTTGACAGAAGAGAAAATACAGGACGGTCAGAAGGAGGCAGCAGAGGACTCTGACTCCTCGTCTCTTCCCTCACTGGAGGATGAGGATGAACAAGAGAAGGACAAGAAGGAGGGAAAGAAAAGTACGACAAAGAAAAAGCACAGTGAGGAGAGGGAGAACACAACCAGAGGAAAGGCAAGATGAATTTGAGAACAGCTCACATCACAAAAAATGACTTTTTCACTACTGTGTGTTATATTTAAGTAATGTCAAACAAGCAAGAGTGTTGTTATTCAACCATACATTACCCTTCAGAAGTTTGGGGTCCAGAAGTTGTTTTTTTTGCTTAAGTAGTAAAGACTCAAGTATTAAAGTAAGGACAAAAGCTCTGTTTTTAATGTCTTTTGTAACAACCAGAATTGGTCAGATAGATAATTTCAGTTTGATTCTCACATAAGTGGACTACATGCTGTCCATGCCCTTTATTAAACCCAATTTTTGAATTTTATTCCGATATGTATTGATTATAATAACTCAATTATTTTTGACCATCAGGATGAAGAAAATAAGGCAGTGTCCAGGCTGAAGCGCTACATCGCCCTCTGTGGTGTGAGACGGAACTATAAGAAGCTGTTAGACGGCTGCCGATCAGTAAAGGCAAAGGTGGCTGTGCTGAAAAAAGAGCTGGAGAAGCTGGGTGTGGAAGGTTAGTGTGCATGTGTGAACAGAAGGGGGAACGCGTATACAATTTGCTGAATCATCTCAATGCTATGGTAAATGTGCACATGCAGATTTGCATTCCTTCAGTGTTTTTAATCATGTATGTGGAGTAACTAGGTTACCTTTCAGTGCATTTTCTGCTGATGTAAAATACAGTCCTGCACATTACTGAAAAAAACAACAACAACTAATATCATATAAATGTCAGTCAAGTGTAATGCACTTTAGAATACATGGTTTGTTTTCTTTTGTACACTGAGAGATTTCTATGTTGCATATGTTATAAAGAATGTCCATACAAGCACACTCTTATTACCTATGAAATATGTCTGTCCCAGGTCAGCCCTCCATAGAGAAATGTAAAAAAGCTCGACTAAAAAGAGAAGAAGCACAGGAACTGGCTGAGCTGGATGTCAGCAACATCATCGCCACTCAGGGTAATGACGTTTATAAATTGTATCTACTGTTGGAAATGCAGAAGCTGAGACCAGGAGACTCTTGGGGATCTTCAGCAGACTTCTTTATTGGGAACGCACTGTGTGGCGCTGCAGTCATCAAAAGTCTAGCTAAGGCAGTGATGCATTGTAGTTTATATACATTTTAGCGGACAGTGCTTAGAAATGGAGACAAGGCACGTGGGTGACGACCTTAAACAAAGCATGCAAATGAAGTATTCAGGCATAGCAACCTGCCCCATTTCACAAGTCCTAATCCAATCAGCATAACTACTGAAAATCTTAGGCAGAGGCACCAAGAGCCATTACAAACAAAAGGTGAGAGTCTCTGTAATCTGGCTCATTTGACTTAACAATAAAAGAACAGGAACTGGCAGGAACCTCTTGCTACACACTTTAACAGAATCGTTCATCTGATGTCATCATCTTTACCATAAATCTTCACCTTAGTTTTTCAGGTGAATGTATGTCAGGAAATATGATTAGTAGATCTAAGACAGGTTCTTAAATTTGTAATCACACACTACTGTAGATACATTTAAATTTAAGGTCAAAAAAATTCACATGAATGCATGGAAATCTGAGAGTTGTAAAATGTGATTTACTTCATTTTGGCCTAAACCTAATGAAATGAAACTTTGTTCATCAGGACGTCCCAAAAGAAGAGCAGCTGCAGCAGCATGGCCCCCTGCACAGAATGTCTCTCCTCCCCCCTCTGCCTATAAATGTGTTGTGAACTCAGACTCTGATAGTGGAGAGAGCCACAGAAACACAGGGCGCAAGAGAGGAGCAGCCTGGGCCAACCTGCAGGGAATCATCAGTGATGATGGAGAGAGTGACTAGGCGGCAAGTGCCTTTCCCTACAATCGGTTTCATCATTATACAGTGCATTCCTTAAGTTCACCCACTCTTTAATTCACTATGGAAAAAAAGTTAAACCTGTTCTAATCAATTGGTACATTGGCAAGAGTTTTATGTGTACATCCTGTTATTGTAGGATGTTTTTGGATTTCTTTATAGTAAGTTTGTTCTCTCTATTTGTGTGTTTTACAATTGTTAGTTTGTACTTTATATTTAAGTATCTTAAATGTGTATAGTAAGGTTCGTGTAGCTTTGGAAATAAAATAACATATATTGAATTTGTTTTACATTCTCTCTTCCTTGTCCCAGAAGTGCACTTTGACTTTGTTAATGGCTGTAGGATGTCGATTTTACAATGTAAACAGTGTATTCTCAAAACTAACTTTTTTATTTTGTTACAGCATAGTAAATGATTATTGCTTGTTTTCAAGGAAGACATCTGATTACATTGCAGAGAACAGCTTGGTTATGTTAGCTCTGATTATAGAAATTCAGACCTTGTGATGAAGCTAGTAGTATTATAAAAACAAAATCTCCTTTAATAGCGGGAATGCAGTGGCGATCAGCCAGGGTATGGCAACAGACAGGGTATGGCGACTGCCATATGGAAACGCGCCCCTGAGTGAAATTTGGCTAAACGTGCATCAGCAACAGCGTTAGCTTTTTAAAATTTCTAAATGTGTTAAGTGTCCCAAATGTATAAAACAGTTTATGTAGCAAATAAATGTAAACACTTAAATTATTTTTTACATTTTCCCCCTTGTCTTTATGCTGTTTTTTTGCTTGATCATGTACATTTAGACTCACTTGAATACTTTACAATAGTTATTAAAAAGCATTCACAAAGTCAGAGCCGTGGCCACTGGTCAATGCTCATGACGTATGCGAGTAACATGAGTTCGATTTCTTGTGAGGACCTTTTCTGGTCCCGTCCCCAACTCTTCTACCCTGTCATTCCTGTCTCTTATATATAAAAAAGCCATAAAAACTTTGAAAAGCTTTTACAAAAATCATTGTTGATCTCCTTGTCTCCTCCCTGTTATATTCAAGGATTAGTTTACTTCCAGAATAAAATTCCTAATAATTTACTCCTCCCCATGTCATCCAAGATGTTAATGTATTTCTTTCTTCAGTCGAAAAGAAATTAAGGTTTTTAAGGAAAACATTCCAGGATTTTTCTCCATATAGTGGACTTCAACGGGTTGAAGGTCCAAACTGCAGTTTCAGTGCAGCTTCAAAGGGCTCTACACGATACCAGCTGTGAAATAAGCAAAACAATCGGTCATCTTCTAAGAAAAAATTTAAATGTTTATACTTTTGCTCATCTTACACTAGCTCGACCTCACACATTACATAATCACGTTGGAAAGGTCACGTGTGACGTAGGTAGAAGTACTGACCCAGTGTTTACAAAGCAAACGTGCAAAGAAAGTCAAACGCCCTTTACAAAAAAAGGTAAAACAACGATGTTGGACGATTTTGAAGTTGGTGGAGATGGAGTCTTTCGGCCTACCCTACATTTTTGAACCGGAGTATGCAGACAAAGAACTAACCGTGCGTGACCTTTCCAACATTACGTAATGCCGCGGACGCGCATCGAAGATACTGAGCCAACCAATGTATCTAAACCAATAAATAGCTGAAAAACCAATGTATACTTGGAACAAACCAATATATACTTGAGCCAATGTATCTAAAAACCAATATATAGTTGAACAAACTAACATATACAATACATACAAAAACAATATATTCTTAAACAAACCAATATATATTTGAGCCATTGTATCTAAACCAATATATAGTTGAAAAACCAATGTAAACTTGAACAAACCAATATATACCGGAGCCAACTAATGTATCTAAACCAATATATAGTTGAACAAACCAATACATACTTGAACCAACTAATGTATCTAAACCAATATATAGTTGAAAAACCAATGTATACTTGAACAAACCAATATATACCGAAGCCAACTAATGTATCTGAACCAATATATACAGTGGTGTGAAAAAGTGTTGGCCCCCTTCCGTGATAAATGGAACCATGAATTCTGCTGTTTACCAAAAATCCTGAAGGAGAATGTCCGGCCATCTGTTCGTGACCTCAAGCTGAAACGAACTTGGGTTCTGCAGCAGGACAATGATCCAAAACACACCAGCAAGTCCACCTCTGAATGGCTGAAGAAAAACAAAATGAAGACTTTGGAGTGGCCTAGTCAAAGTCCTGACCTGAATCCTATTGAGATGCTGTGGCATGACCTTAAAAAGGCGATTCATGCTCGAAAACCCTCCAATGTGGCTGAATTACAACAATTCTGCATAGATGAGTGGACCAAAATTCCTCCACAGCGCTGTAACAGACTCGTTGCAAGTTATCGCAAACACTTGATTGCAGTTGTTGCTGCTAAGGGTGGCCCAACCAGTTATTAGGTTTAGGGGGCAAACACTTTTTCACACAGGGCCATGTAATTTTGGATTTTGTTTTTCCTTAATAATAAAAACCTTCATTTAAAAACTGCATGTTGTGTTCACTTGTGTTATCTTTTATGATCTGAAACATTAAAGTGTGACAAACATGCAAAGAAATAAGAAATCAGGAAGGGGGCCAACACTTTTTCACACCACTGTACTTGAACCAACTAATGTATCTAAACCAATATATAGTTGAAAAAACAATGTATACTTGAACAAACCAATATATACATGAGACAACCAATATATAGTTGAACAAACCAATACATACTTGAACAAACCAATACACCCTTGAGCAAACTGATGTATCTAAATGAATATATATGTGAACAAACAAATATATAGGCCTAGTTAATCAAACCAATCTGTAATTGAACAAAGCAATGTATACTTGATCAGACCAATATATACTTGATCCAACCAATGCATCTAAACCATAGTTGAGGAAATCACTGTTTACTAGAACAATCCAGTTTATAAAGGAGCAAACCCATGTGTGCTTGATTAAATCAATGTATCTAAATCAGTATGTCTGGTTAAGCCAATGTATTATAAATCAGTGCATATGTTATTAAACCATACTTTCAACCAGTGAACCAATCCATATCCACGCAATACATATGTATTTCCTGAACAGCTTTCCAGAGACTATACTATATAGGCAGCAAATTCCTTGTATTATACAATGGATTCACAAATAACTGTTTACATTTACATTTAGTCATTTAGCAGACTTTATCCAAAGAGACTTACAAATGAGGACAATAAAAGCAGTCAAAACTAACAAAAGAGCAACAATATATAAGTGCAAATGACAAGTCTCGGTTAGCCTAACGCAGTACATGTAGCAAGGTGTGCATATATATTTTATACTCACACATAAACACACACACAAAGAAAAACAAGTAGATAGAATAGAAAAAATATAAATAGTTTTTTTTTTAATTAAAAAAAAGAAGATAAAGTAGAATTAAAATAGAATAGAAAGTGCTAGAGTTAGAGGGTCAAATAAAGGTGGAACAGATGTGTTTTTAGTCGTTTCTTGAAGATGG